TATCCGCTCAATCGGCCAGAGCCTGTCTTTGCATGCAGGGGAAGTCCCTAACTCACTCGCCTGGTTTAGCCAGCCAGTTTACTGTTCTTGGGATGTGGCTGCTGTCACACACTGACATCTTCTAGGAGCCACAGGTGGGAGCTGAGTGCAGGATGGGGGAACAAAGGTGGACAAACTACCACCGAAGGAGCACATGTGTCCCCCACCAGAGGTACTACCCTCCCCTAAAACTTCGGCAGATTATGGTAACTGGGTTGCTTTACTTCAGGGGGCTGGGCTAAAGACACATCCCCACTCCTTGCCTAGGCGATATTGCCTGAAGAGGGCTTTTAACAGCTCCAAAAGAGAAATAAGACAAATCCCTATCTAGTCAGTCCTCTGAGAGAGAAACTGCAGCTCTGGTCACCGTCACCAGCTCAGCTTCTGGATCCCATGGAGAGATGGGGGTGAGTCACAGGAGGGGCAAATTATAGTTCTAGAGAAAGAAAGAAAAAAACACAGTATAATGACAGGAGTTCAGAAATGAAAAACGTTGGCAGCATTAAGATAAATCAAATAAGTGCAAATAAGTTTGGATGGATGTAATAACGGAATAGTAAATGGTTTAGTTTATGTAACATATGCAGGGGTTTACGATATGCAAAATGAGCCATGGAAAGAGAAGAAGGGAAGTAATTGATATTTTAAGGATGTTTAAATGAGTATTCTAAACAGTAAAACAGAAAATGTAATAAAAATGATAAAAAGGAGTTCAGAAATGAGGAGGGGCAAGTAGGGATGAGCTCCTTGTTTTTTGAGGGGGGCACTTGTGTGTGTGTGTGTCGCCCGCCTGTGGCTCCGCCTGTGACTGACCACTATATTACCGGCTCCCCAAAAGCGCACCCTTCAATTCCGTTCGCACCGGCTGAGGAGACACGTCTTCGCCGCCCTTTCCCGGCATTCGCTGCTCCTCCCTTCGCGTCTCGCTGCCTCTTTTCCTTCCGCTCCCTCAGCGCAAGGCGGCGGCGGGCGGACTCTGCCGCTTTCCCCGCGCGCGGCGGCGCCATGGCGGACGGCGAGGCGGCGGCGGCGGCGGCGCCTGATCCAGGGCTTTCAGCTCGGGGAGCCGGCATTGCCGGCAGCGCAAAGGGGCTGCTGCAGAAGGGCTTCGACATGTACGTGCGAGATCCGTTCGACGCCGCTCACAACCCTCAGGTGTGTGTGTGAGAGAGAGAGTCGGTGGTTTTTGCAAGGGGGGTGTAAAAGAAGCCGCTGGTGGGGCAGGACGTGGGGGGGGGCGGGGGCTTCTCTGCTAGTGTATTGAGGAAATAGGGCGCAGGGTATAAAACATGGAGCCATGGGTGGGTCAAGTCAAGTCCTTGTGACAAGAGTGTGAGAACAGAGGCTTTTGTGGGTGGGTGGGTGGGTTTTTTAAATGGGACGGTATTGTGGTAGGGCAACCTTTTTCAGCCCAACGCCTGGAAAAGGCGCGCAATTTCATCGGAAATTGCCTTATATAGAGACAGGCAGTTGAGTCTATCAAGCTCAGTATTGTCAGCACTGACAGGCAGCAGCTCCCTGGAGTTTGGGGCAGGAGTCTCTCCCAGCCCTACCCGCAGATGCTGGGGATTGAATCTGGAACCTTCCGCATGCAAAGCCCATGATCTACCACTTATTATGGGAAAGCCGGGGGGGGGCACTTGCTGGTGGTGAATGGGGTCGGAGGCATAAGTGGGGGGGGGGCAACTGATGTAAATTTGAGCTTTAATCAGTAAATAACAATAGTAATTAAAAAAAAACTAATTTCCATGCACACTCATACACATTTCCTACACTCATGCAAGCAGCAGGCGTTATCAGAGTTGAAGGAGATATTCTAGCCAGGCAAAAGCAGTCAAGGAGGGTGTGAAGCGTAACTGCTGAGGGGTGTATGACTGGGGAAAGTCTGGAGGACCAGAAAGAGAAGCTTGGCTGGACTCGTAGAAGCCAAATCTTAGAGGCCAAAGTCTCTCCCCCCCCCCAATAAAATATTGGGGGGGCAAAGTTGATGGGCATTACCATTCAAATGGTGTGTACATGCCTTGTGGATCAATTACGCAGGCCAGGGCTTACCTCCCTCCCCCCAAAAATGTTTTTATTCAAGTTGGCATTTGGCACTCCTTTG